TATTTGTGAGTATTTGAGTATTTGAGTATTTGTGCCATTGAGTATTTGTGCCATGTTTGATCCAGATCCATCATTGCTTGAGTCCACAGTGTTCTCTGGATGTAGGTGAACTACAACTCCAAAAACTCAAGGTCAATGTCCACCAGACCTTCCCAGTATTTTCTCTTGGTCATGGGAATTCTGTGTGCCATGTTTGATTCAATTCCATCATTGATGGAGTTCAGAAGGCTCTTTGATTTAAGGTGAACTATAAATCCCAGCAACACCAGCATTACCAAATGACAAAATCAATCACCCCCGACCCCACCAGTATTCAAATTTTGGGCGTATCGGGTATTTGTACCAAATTTGGTCCAGGGACTGAAAATACATCCTGCATATCAGATATTTACATTACAATTCATAACAGTAGCAAAATTACAGTTATGAAGTAGCAACGAAAATAACGTTATGATTGGGGGTCAACACAACATGAGGACCTGTATTGAGGGGTCGTTGCATTAGGAAGGTTAAGAACCACTGGTTTAGGGCTTTATAGGCCAACGCCAGCACCTTGAATTGAGCCCGGTAGCAAATCGGCAACCAGTGGAGCCGGTACAGTTTAAAACCGTCTTGGTCATCTGCGTCAAATCTAAATTGGCCTGGTAAAGTTTCATATCACTGCTTTATTGCCCTGTCCCAAATTTATTTATTTATTTATTTATTTATTTCGTGTACTTCTACCCCGCCCTTCTCAACCCCCGAGGGGGGACTCGGGGCGGCTTACAAAAAGGCACAATTCGATGCCTGCACAATAATACAGATAAACATATAAAAACAGTAGGCCTGTGCAGTTTCGTTCGTTAATTCGTTAATTCGTTATTAATTCGTTATTTTTGGCATTTCCGAAGCGATATTGAAGCACTTTTTCAAACCCGGAAGGGTTTAAAAATAACGAGGCGGCAACCCCATAGATTTTACGAGCTTCCGCCCGTTTCGTTATTGGGGTGCAGGCTGCTGGTGCCTGGGAGCCAATCCGGCGCTCCCAAGCAGTGCACCATGGGTCCGTGGCTGTTTGTTTTTGATTGGCCGGCGAGCCCTTTCAAAGCGGCTCCGCGCGGCCCGTAGCTTGCTGCAGAGGGCGAGGGAGTTTGCATTGGGTTGGCTTGGCTGCTAGCAACTGGGATTGGATTCATTCCTTGCTGCTGTGAGTGCTGCTTGCTTCATTTGCTGTCTCTTGCCTGTGTTTGGTCCACATTTGGGCCATTTTTTGGTTAATTTTCCATTTTAAAATATTTTTTAATATTTTTTAATATTATTTTTTAATATTATTTTTTAATATTATTTTTTAATATTATTCTTAAAAAATATTTTAAAAAAGAAAAGACTCTTCTGTTGGTGTGTGCTCTCATTTGCTGTATCCTGCCTGTGTTTGGTCCACATTTGGGCCATTTTTTGGTTAATTTTCCATTTTAAAATATTTTTTAATATTATTTTAATATTATTCTTAAGAAATACCAAAAATATTCTAAAAATTCGTTAATATTTACAAAATTTCTTAAATACCAAAACTTTTTTTTGGAAAGTTTTGTAATTATTTTAAATATCGAAACAAAAAAACACCCCAATTACAAATCGATTTTAGAAACAAATTTTTTCTTGATCAAACAGGCCTAAAAAACAGCACTTAAAACAGTTATAACAGTTAAAAACAATCAATATATATCACAGTCAGTAAACCAATCTCAAGCTCCGCATTCGACAACTCAGAGTCCATATTTCATTCTACATCAGTGGTTCTCAACCTGGGGGTCGGGACCCCTGGGGGGGGTCACAAGAGGGTTTTAGAGGGGTCACCAAAGACCATCCAAAACCATAGTATTTTCTGTTGGTCATAGGGGTTCCATGTGGGAAGTTTGGCCCAATTCTGTCATTGGTGGGGATCAGAATGATATTTTATTGTAGGTGAACTATAAATCCCAGCAACTAAAACTCTCAAATGCCAAGGTCTATTTTCCCCAAACTCCACCAGTGTTCATTCACATTGGGCATGTTGAGTATTCATGCCAAGTTTGGTCCAGATCCATCATTGTTTGAGTCCACAGTGCTCTCTGGATGTAGGTGAACTACAACTCCAAACCTCAAGGTCAATGCCCACCAAACCCTTCCAGTATTTTCTGTTGGTCAAGGGAGTTCTGTGTGGCAAGATTGGTTCAATTCCATTGTTGGAGTTCATAATGCTCTTTGATTGTAGGTAAACTATAAATCCCAGCAACTACAACTCCCAAATGACAACATCAATCCCCTGCCAACCCCACCAGTATTCAAATTGGGGCATATCATGTATTTGTGCCAAATTTGGTCCAGTGAATGAAAATACATCCTGCATATCAGATATTTATATTATGATTCATAACAGTAGCAAAATTATAGTTGAAGTAGCAACAAAAATAATATTATGGTTGGGGGTCACCACAACATGAGGAACTGTACTAAGGGGTCGCGGCATTAGAGAGGTTGAGAACCACTGTTCTACATTGTCTATTCCTATCAGTCATTGTAGTCCTTTATTTATCTGCCAGATTGCCCAAACGCCTGGTCCCAAATCCATGTTTTTAATTTCCTTCTAAAGGAAAGGAGGGATGTCGCTGATCTAACTTCCCTGGGGAGTGAATTCCACAGGTGAGGGGCCACCACCGAGAAGGCCCTGCTCCTCGTCCCCGCCAATCTCACTTGTGATAGTGGCGGAGTCGAGAGCAGGGCCTCCCCAGACGATCTTAAATTTCGAGGTGGGATGTAGAGGGAGATCCGTTCAGACAAATACACTGGGCCGGAACCGTATAGGGTTTTGTAGGTTAAAACCAGCACTTTGAATTGTGCTCGGAATTGGATCGGCAGCCAGTGGAGCTGACATAGCAGGGGGGTGGTATGCTCCCTGTATGACGCTCCGGTGAGTACTCTGGCTGCCTCCCGCTGGACTAATTGAAGTTTCCGAACAGTCTTCAAAGGCAACCCCACGTAGAGTGCGTTGCAGTAATCTAATCGGGATGTAACAAGAGCGTGGACCACCATGTAGCGGGGGGGGGGGGGGCTCGAGGGGCTTCAGCCCCCCCCCCCGAAATTCTCATGGTGGTTCGCGAAAAGGCCTTACTGGTGCATTATTTAAACTGTTATGTTTATTCATATCATGATCTGATCACCATACTCAATATATCCCATATGCATGGGGGTACTGGGGTAATGATACAAAAGGTTTGCTAGGCTAGACCCTCTTTCACTCAGACTCACCCCCCCCCCGAACCCCCCCTGAAAAAAATTCCCCCCCCCCCCCCCGAAATGAAATCCTGGCTACGGGCCTGGCGTGGACCACCGTGGCCAAATCAGACTTCCCAAGGTACGGGCGCAGCTGGTGTACAAGTTTTAATTGTGCAAAAGCTCCCCCGAATAACGGCCGAGACCTGGGGTTCCAGGCTCAGCGACGAATCCAGGATCACTCCCAAGCTGCAAACCTGCATCTTCAGGGAGAGTGTAACCCCATCTAACACAAAAGCTTGGCCCTACAGTAAAGTTTTTACCATCCTTCTAGAGGACAGGAGGTAGGGGGCCAATCTGTTCCTGCTAGGTGTCACGTTGCTAGGACTCTACCTTGTTTAGATAGAGATGAATCAAAACTCCCAGTTTTAACAAACCGTTTAATTAAAACAGCACTTACTTGCTGGCTGTTTTTATAGTCCAAAATATAAAACGCAAAGATAGCACTCAGTTACAGAATAAACAAAAACTGATAGCAAGAATAAGTTCATAGTCAAAAGGGTCCAGTCCAATGGTCAAATGCCGAGAGTTCAATAACAGAGTCCAGGGATCAAGAGTCTATACCGTAGTCAAAAGCCAGTCCAAAGGTTTGAGGTTCCAGGGTTCCAAGATTACAGGAGATAGGTCAGGACACCGAAAATCCAACAGACCTGGGGGAAAAAACAGCAGTATTCCGCCACCAAAATGCAACAAATACTTTTCTCCCAAAGATCAGTGCCAAGGCTAACTCCTTATATCCAGAAACACCCAGCTGCAACCCATCTCTAATACCTCCACCCTTAATTGCTTTCACCCAGGAGCTCCCACTTACAGAGCACCAAACCCTCTAGAACTAATACATTAACCCTTTCATCACCAACCACCACCATCAACTGCAGACCATATGACACCAGGAATGGAGTTCCATAGGCGGGGGGCCATCACCAAGAAGGCCCTCTCTCTTGTCCCCACCAATCGCGCCTGTGACAATGGCGGGACGGAGAGCAGGGCCTCCTCGGAGGATCTTAATCTCCGCGATGGTTCATAAGGGGAGATGAGTTTGGACAGGTAAATTGGGCCGGGGTTGTTTAGGGCTTTATAGGCCAATGGCAACACTTTGAATTGTGCCCGGTAGCAAACTGGCAGCCAGTGGAGCTGACGTAACATGGGAGTTGTGTGCTCTCTGTATGCCACCCCAGTTATTAACCTGGCTGCCTCTCGTTGGACTAGTTGAAGCTTCCGAGCGGTCTTCAAAGGCAACCCCACGTAGAGTGCATTGCAGTAGTCTATCCTGGATGTACTCTTTGACAGAGAAGACTAATACCATGTTCCTATTGGTGTCTTGGAGCCCCCGGTGGCGCAGTGGGTTAAAGCACTGAGCTGCTGATCTTGTTGATCGAAAGGTCGCAGGTTCAATTCCGGGGAGCGTTGTGAGCTTCCGCTGTCAGCCCTAGCTTCTGCCAACCTAGCAGTTTGAAAACATGGAAATGTGAGTAGATCAATAGGTACCGCTCCGGCGGGAAGGTAAGGGCGCTCCATGCAGTCATGCCGGCCACATGACCTTGGAGGTGTCTATGGACAACGCTGGCTCTTCGGCTTAGAAATGGAGATGAGCACCACACCCCAGAGTCCGACATGACTGGACTTAATGTCAGGGGACCACCTTTACCTTTATTGGTGTCTTATTTGTCTCCTTCTCAGTGAAACCATGCCATTCTTGTGTTTTCCAGAACAACCATGAAGAGGAAGTATGTGGCTAGATGCTCAATAGCATTTCTCCTGATTCTGCTTCAGGCTGATGTCATTGATTCACGAGGCTCAAGGGGCCGTTCCCGTTCAAGCAGTTCAAAATCTCATTCCAGCAGTTCTGGGTCCCAATTTGGCAGTTCTAGTTCCAATTCGATCAGTTCTAGCTCTGATTCAAGCAATTCTGATTCTTCTTTTAGAAACGGCCCAAGAAGGAACCGTTGGGAATCTAGCAAATCGGAAGGAAGTTCTACCAGTTACCTTCAACCTATGCAAGAACCGTTCTCCACAAAACATCGCCCTCAAAACCCTTCACTATACCCTTGGGATTCATACGATGCCAAGCCATGGAGACCGAAGCCACCCAAAGCCAAACTAAAGCATGTGGCCGGAGCACGCATTGCTGGCTCTGCAGTGGGATCTGATGGGGACTTCCTTCTTGGCGGCTCCATGACCTGCATGGAATTCCATTTTTGGGACCCCAAGGAGGAACAGTGGTGGTACGAACACCGCAATAGCTATTCCGACATGGTTTATTTCCGAAATTACGATCAGTATCCTGTTCCAGAGGATGTCTTTGTGGGAGACTGTGTGAATGTCACTGTGGGAGAGTTCATCAAGAACCAAACCGATAAGATGGAAATTAAGGTTGTGACGCGTGTGGTGCGCCAAATGTGCAAAGAGGAGTATCGTGAAAGTTTCTTTCGACGTTTAAGAGAAAGTAACTCTGGGAAGATACGCAAGATGACAAATACCGCCGGAGCCGTTATTGCCAGTGTTGAAGGACCCAATGGAGGTCATGATAGGGTTGTGGCTCTACACATCTCCTTTTTGATGATGCTTCTCTTCCTCACAAAGCTCCTCTGTTATTGATCACTTGTAGATCATGGGCTGCCTACTACCCTGAGGTTATACGCTTCCATATAAGCCTATGCTTTGTTGTTGATCTCATGATAACACTTTAAATAATTGCTGTATCTTGAAAGGAAATACTCTAAAAGCCAAAATATGAGGGTGGGTCCTGATCAAGAGGGGACTAAATGAAAGCTTTGTGTGAGAGGGAAATTAGGGTGAAGAGCCCTCCGATGAAAGATGAAAAAGTTATGGCCAACGCAATCAAGTTGGAGGATTTGATCTGACACCACAGGAACCACAGCAGGAAGACCCCAATTTGCCTGCTTCTGTCTTAGATAAAGTAAACATTATTGATGTATTCAAACTGCAAAATTAAAAGAAAACCTAGCATAATAAAGACCCTGGAATATCTGTGTAATGTGATTGATCTCGCAAACATTGAGAAACAACTGATTCTAACTTCTTTTTTTTTTACTGTCAGTGTCATGAATGACTTTTCAATAACTTTGAAACATAGGTTCATTTTATTGTCGAAGGCTTTCATGGCCGGAATCACTGGGTTGTTGTAAGTTTTTCTGGGCTATATGGCCATGTTCTAGAGGCATTCTCTCCTGATGTTTCGCCTGCATCTATGGCAAGCATCCTCAGAGGTGAGGTCTGTTGGAAATAGGACAATGGGTTTATATATTAAGCTGTGCCTGTGTTAAGCTGTGCCTGGTTGTTTCCTCTCTGCTTCATTAGCATTTGAAGGCCTGCCTGAGCCTGGGAAATCTCCTGCTGAGAGGTGTTAAGCTGTGCCTGGTTGTTTCCTCTCTGCTTCATTAGCATTTCTCAGCAGGAGATTTCCCAGGCTCAGGCAGGCCTTCAAATGCTAATGAAGCAGAGAGGAAACAACCAGGCACAGCTTAACACCTCTCAGCAGGAGATTTTTCCCAGGCTCAGGCAGGCCTTCAAATGCTAATGAAGGTTGAAACATTCACACCTAGCTCTAGCAAGGAAGAGCTCTTTGCCCCACCACAGCCATTCCACAGATATATAAACCCATTGTCCTATTTCCAACAGACCTCACTACCTCTGAGGATGCTTGCCATAGATGCAGGCGAAACGTCAGGAGAGAATGCCTCTAGAACATGGCCCTATAGCCCGAAAAAACCCACAAGAACCTATTGTCGAAGGCTTTCATGGCCGGAATCACTGGGTTGTTGTAGGTTTTTTTCGGGCTATATGGCCATGTTCTAGAGGCATTCTCTCCTGACGTTTCGCCTGCATCTATGGCAAGCATCCTCAGAGGTAGTGAGGTGTTGGATCCCTTTGAATGAATCCATGGCAGTTAAAACTTGGTCATTCCACAGATATATAAACCCCTTTTCCGATTTCCAACAGACCTCTCTACCTCTGAGGATGCTTGCCATAGATGCAGGCAAAACGTCAGGAGAGAATGCCTCTAGAACAGCGGTTCTCAACCTGGGGGTCGCGACCCCCAAGGGGGTCGCTGGGCCATTTTCCGGGGGTCGCGAAGCCGCCTCGGTTGGCCCCGCCCCCTCCAAAATGGCTGCCGGCTCCTGTGTGAGCCCGGCCCAGGCGCCTCTCCGAACTTCGGAGGACGCGAGGGGCAAGCGTAAGGCCCCCGCCATGCCGGCAGCCATGGAGGAGGCCTTTCCCGCTTGCCTCACACGCCCTCCGGCTTCAGAGGACGCGAAGGGCGAGTGTAAGGCCTCCGCCATGGCGACCGCCATGGAGGGGGCCTTTCCTGCTTGCCCCACATGCCCTCCAGCCTCTGAAGGGGCGAGTGGCTCCCAGTCATCTTTACCCTCTCCAGGCAGGAAAGAAGAGTCTTCAGGAACTTAATGTAGGACAAATTATTATTATTATTTATTATTTGCTTCATTTCTATACCGCATTTTTCAGCCTGATAAGGCGACTCAATGCGGTTTACACAATGAAAATTATCACAATAACATCAATACTATCACAACAATATCCTAAACAATTAAAACACATCATATACAGCAGCAAAATCAACAATCATTAACAATTCATAACGCCTCAATATGAAATCAGATCCGTTCTCGTAATCCTTGTGCCATTCCTGAGATCAAATTTTACCATCCTCCTATATTCAGTTGCACTGATTAGCCAAACGCTTGTTCATAGAGCCAGGTCTTAACCTTCTTCCGAAACGCCAGCAGCGAAGGGGCCTGTCTGATGTCTACAGGTAGGGCATTCCATAGCCGAGGGGCCACCACCGAGAAGGCCCTGTCCCTCGTCCCCACCAACCGCGCCTGTGACGCAGGCGGGACCGAGAGCAGGGCCTCCTCGGACGATCTTAAAGTCCGCGTCGGTTCATAGGTGGAGATGTGTTCGGAGAGGTAAGTGGGGCCGGAACCGTTTAGGGCTTTGTAGGCTAACGCCAGCACCTTGAATTGTGCCCGGTAACAGATTGGCAGCCAGTGGAGCTGGCTCAACAGAGGAGTGGTGTGCTCCCTGAGTGCCGCTCCTGTTAGCAACCTGGATGCCGAACGCTGGACCATCTGAAGCTTCCGGGCAGTCTTCAAGGGCAGCCCCACGTAGAGCACGTTGCAGTAATCTGTACGGGATGTAACCAGAGCGTGGACTACCGTGGCCAAGTCAGACTTCCCAAGGTACGGGCGCAGCTGGCGCACAAGTTTTAATTGTGCAAATGCTCCCTGGATACCGCCGAGACCTGGGGTTCCAAGCTTAGCGATGAATCCAGGGTAACACCCAAGCTGCGAACCTGCGTCTTCAGGGGGAGTGTGACCCCGTCTAACACAGGCTGTAACCCTATACCCTGTTCGGCCTTTCGACTGACCAGGAGTGCCTCTGTCTTGTCTGGATTCAGTTTCAGTTTGTACATTTGTACAATCTTTGTACATGCCTCCCCCAAACAACTCTAGTATTATCTGTTGGTCATGGAAGTCCTGTATGCCAAGTTTGGTTCAATTCTATTGTTGGTGGAGTTCAGAATGCTCTTTGGTGCCTGGTGAACTATAATTCACACGAGGGCAATTCCCAAACGTCAGGGTCTATTTTTCCCAAACCTCTCCAGTATTATCTGTTGGTCATGGAAGTCCTGCATGCCAAGTTTGGTTCAATTCTATTGCTGGTGGAGTTCAGAATGCTCTGTGGTGCCTAGTGAACTATAATTCACACAAGGGCAATTCCCAAACGTCAGGGTCTATTTTTCCCAAACCACTCTAGTATTATCTGTTGGTCATGGAAGTCCTGTATGCCAAGTTTGGTTCAATTCTATTGTTGGTGGAGTTCAGAATGCTCTTTGGTGCCTGGTGAACTATAATTCACACAAGTGCAATTCTCAAAAAGTCAGAGCTGAATCGGTTGGCAGTAATTCCAATCCCTTCATCCATTGTCCATATCATTAATCACTATGCTTTAATTATGTTCAATTTGTAACAATGGAAATACACCCTGCATATCAGATGTTAACATTACAATTCATAACAGTACAGTTATGACATAGCAACAACAATATGGTTGGGGGTCACCACAACATGAGGAACTGTATTTAGGGGTCACGACATTAGAAAGGTTGAGAACCACTGCTCTAGAACATGGCCATATAGCCCGGAAAAACCTACAACAACCCAATTGTAGGATGGTTAGTTAGCACATGGAAAAATCCTACTCATAACAAGCATAAAGAAATTACATATATTAGAAACCAACACTTTCACATTACTTTATTTTCCGGATCACCAGACTGGGCCACAGCAACGCCTGGCAGGGGACAGCTAGTATGATATAAAAAAAAATATAAAAACCGTACAAAGCCTTAAAACATTATCTCCAGGTTAAATCGTTATTCCATTGTGTTATCCAGTAGTTCCATAATTCCATTTATCTATACTGTATTTGGGAAGGCCTGCTCAAAAAGCCAGGTTTTCACCTTTTTTCAAAAAGTCAGGAGGGAGGGAGCCGAGCGTATATTTCTAAACAGGGCGTTCCACAGTCAAGGGGCCACCACTGAGAAGGTCCTGTCCCTTGTCCCCACCAGGTGCATTTGTGAAGAGCGTGGGAGTGAGAGCAGGGCCTCCCCAAAAGATCTTAACGTCCTAGATGGTTCATAAGGAGAGATACGTTCAGATAGGTAAGTTGGACCGAAACCGTGTAGGGCTTTATAGGCTAAAGCCAGCACTTTGAATTGTGCCCGGAAGCAAACAGGCAGCCAATGAAGCCGGGTATATGAGATTACAGGAAAACATTTAGACATAGAATGACATTGGACATACAGACATAAAGATTCTATGCAACTACAATTACATAAGAGCCCCCGGTGGCGCAGTGGGTTAAAGCACTGAGCTGCTGAGCTTGTTGATCGAAAGGTCGCAGGTTCGATTCCGGGGAGCGGCGTGAGCTTCCGCTGTCAGCCCTAGCTTCTGCCAACCTAGCAGTTCGAAAACATGCAAATGTGAGTAGATCAATAGGTACCGCTCCGGCGGGAAGGTAAGGGCGCTCCATGCAGTCATGCCGGCCACATGACCTTGGAGGTGTCTACGGACAACGCTGGCTCTTCGGCTTAGAAATGGAGATGAGCACCACACCCCAGAGTCAGACATGACTGGACTTAGTGTCAGGGGACTACCTTTACCTTTACCTTTACAATTACATAGCTAACAAACAAATAAACGAGAAATACATTTTCAGTCAACATTCACACCACTTGTACATGCCTTCATCCTCATGCTCCCAAATGTTCTCCCTCCTTGGAGAAGTACCTGTTAGGCCAGACCCTGCTTTCCTGCAGCCTGTCAATGCACCGTTCCATAATGCCAAAGCTTCAAAACACCAAAACACCAAAACAACTTCTGTGCTGGCACGGCTGTGTCAGGAGCTTCATCCCCGTTTTCCTACTTTGCTTGTTTGCATGAATTCCTCTAGGGCATGCATTTTGCAATCTGGCAGCTTCCTCCAGGTTGCAATCATAGGGCCAACCACCCATCAATCATCGTTATTAATTTATTTACTTTACTTATATACCGCTTTTCTCAGCCCTCAGGCGACTCAAAGCGGTGAACAACGTCGATACAAAACATCACAAAACAAGTATAGGGCAATTAAAAACAATTGTAACATAAATAATTAAACATCCGCATAACAATCATTAGCGCCTCAACAGTAAAATCAGAATCCAGTCTCATCATCCATTTTTCCGTATTCTTATGTTCAATTACACTGTTTAATCAAATGCTTGTTCGAGCAGCCAGGTCTTCACTTTCCTCCAAAACGCCAGCAGGGAGGGGGCCGATCTGATATCTGCAGGCAGGGCGTTCCACAGCCGAGGGGCCACCACTGAGAAGGCCCTGTCTCTCATCCCCGCCAAGCGCACCTGTGATGCAGGCGGGACAGAGAGCAGGGCCTCCCCAGATGATCTT